GGGGGTGGGGGTCCTATTGCGCTTCAGGTGATCCTTATTTGTAATCTGTAATGGGGGAATGCTGTACTGATAGCTTGAGCCAACACTTCCAAATCAAACAGTTCTCCGCCACAGTAAGCAAAGTACCTGGAGCATAACAACCTTTTATTTTGTTTTGAACAAATTTTGGTTTATTACTGTGATCAATGTATTAGAGATTTAAGTAGTTTGGGTCACTGGTCCCACGACCATTAAAATTTATTTCCTTAAATTAGATAAATTGGTAAAACAACAACAACAACAACAAAGCAGCTACCATTTACAGGCCATTTTCAGTGCCAACTATTTTCCATTTAGGGTCTCATTTTATCCTCACAGTAATTCACTGAGAAAGGTACTATTATCACGTCCCTTTCTACAGATAAAGGAACAATGACTAAAGAGGCTTGCCCAGGGCACTGAAGGGCAGGGAGGCAATGGAGGTGATTATTATTGAGAACAAAAATAACTTAATTTTTTTTTTTTCCCTCTAGAACTGGAGTTATAATGAGTGAAACAAGATAATTCCTGAAGAAGCATACTTTAAAAAAAAAGTCTAAGGGTAATGAGGCAAACTCATTATTGAATAGTGTATTCCATAATATTATGTCACCTTCTGATAATTCATCTTCTCTATTACCCATTTATAATTTTATCTGAGACTATTTCAACCAAGAATGTTGCAGGTATTGGACCTAAACATACCAAGATTCCTTTTTAGCAGTTATTTTCTAGTGGTTCTCAAAGTGTGGTCTCCAGACCAGCTGCAGCAGCAGCACCTGGGAACTTACTAGAAATACAAATTCTCAGGCCCCAGCACCAAACCTGTGGAGTCACAAACTGGGGGTTAGCACAGCCATCTGTGGCTCAATAAGTCCTCTAGGTGATTCTGATGCGTACACAAGTTTGGAAACCATTGACTTAACCCTACCATGGCGTCAGGTGACCCCTCTTTTTTTCAGATGGCTCACACCACATGAAAGGGAAAGGTTTAAAAAAAAAAAGAAATCTTCTCATATTACTAGTGTAACAGATGAAGGGATGTACTTCTAAGAAGGTTTTTGTTTTATTTTTGTTTTCTTACATTTTAAATTTTCACTTGGACTCCAAAGACAAACTGAATTGTTAAACACGGAATATATAATAGAATGCTTCTAATATGACATGCCAAAGGGCTTTACTCTATAGTCATTAGGGAAGGTCAACTTTGGCTTGAAACCAACCTCTGTAAAAAAGATAATGAGCGCTGGGCGTGGTAGCTCACACCTGTATTCCCAACACTTTGGGAGGCCCCGGGGTGGGGTGGGGGTGAGGGGAGCGGGTGTCGAGGTCAAGAGGTCGAGACTGTCCTGACCAATATGGTAAAACCCTGTCTCTACTAAAAAATATACAAAAATTAGCTGGGCATGTTGGTGCGCCCCTATAGTCCCAGCTACTCGGGAGGCTGAGGCAGGAGAATCACTTGAACCCAGGAGACAGTTGCAGTGAGCAGAGATCACGCCACTGCACTCCAGTCTGTTGACAAAATGAGATTCTGTCTCAAAAAAAAAAGAAAAGAAAAGAAAAGAAAAGATAATGAGCAGAGTTGGTTGTGTTCAAAATGTGATATTGGTTAGGCGTGGTGGCTCACGCCTGTAATCCCAGCACTTTGGGAGGCGGAGGCAGACAGAACACCTGAGGTCAGGAGTTGGCGACCAACCTGACCAACACGGCCAAACCCTGTCTCTACTAAAAATACAACAATTAGCCCGGCAGTTGGCAGGTGCCTGTAATCCCAGCTACTAGGGAGACTGAGGCAGGAGAATCACTTGAACTGGGGAGATGGAGGTTGAAGTGAGCCGAGATTGCGCCACTGCACTCCAGCCTGGGGTAACAGAGCGAGACTCTGTCTCAAAAAACAAAAGGCCGGGCACGGTGGCTCACGCCTGTAATCCCAGCACTTTGGGAGGCCGGAGTAGGCGGATTACGAGGTCAGGGGATCCAGACCATCCTGGCTAACACGGTGAAACCCCCTCTCTACTAAAAATACAAAAAAAATTAGCTGAGCGTGGTAGCCGGCGCCTGTAGTCCCGGCTACTCGGGAGACTGCGACAGAAGAATGGCGTGAACCCGGGAGGTGGAACTGGCAGTGAGCAGAGATCACACCTGGCAACAGAAGGATACTCCGTCTCAAAAGAAAGAAAGAAAGAAAGTTTTGTACATTTGCTACTTTCCAGGCACTCACTTAACTTGGTGCTGGAATATACATTTGTGTGAAAAAAAGATGTTACCCTATTCTTATGGATCTTACCGTCATGTGGGGGAGAAAGATATTATCATATAATATATAATTAGGAACTGGTAAATATTTTCAAAGAAAAGCACAGAATGCTATGGGAGCATATAACCAGTCATAATGGATCTTGAAAACTCACCCAGGTCTGAGTTCCAACCATCCCCACGGCCAAAGGAGCCAGGCTTATTTCCTTAAAGTAGGTAACCTGGCAGTCTGCTTCAGAACTCAGGTAGAGTCATTGCAGGTTCACTTACATTTTTCTTTGTAAAGTAGGGATGACTTGGAAAGGGGATTCCTGATGGGAGAAGAGCAAAT